ATGTTGGGTTATATCTCTAGGGTTGTGGAGTTTAAGTCAAGGGATGTGATGCTAAGATTATACAATTCCTTTGTAAGACCCCACCTAGAATATTGTGTGCAGGTTTGGTCACCATACCTTAAAAAGGATATTGCTGCCTTAGAAAAGGTGCAACGTAGGGCTACAAGAATGATTCCTGGTCTTAGAGGAATGTCTTATGAGGAGAGGTTAGCTGGGCTGAATCTGTTCAGCCTCGAGCAAAGGAGACTAAGGGGGGGACATGATCCAGGTATATAAGATTCTAACAGGTCTGGATGCTATTCAACAAAATAGGTACTTCAATATTAGTTTGAATACAAAGAACTTATGGCCATAGGTGGAAATTAGAGGGAGAACATTTTAAACTGGATTTGAGAAAGCACTTCTTTACACAGAGTGTAGTTAGAGTATGGGATATTCTTCCTATTAGTGTAGCGCAAGCTAAAACCCTGGGTTCCTTTAAATCAGAGCTAGATAAAATTTTATTAGTTGAATTCTCCCCAACCGAGCTTGATGGGCCAAATGGCCTCCTCTCTTTAGTAAATTAATTACGTTCTTATGTTGATATTGCCACAGTAATAGCCCCTTCCATCCACGTTCCTGATCAATAGGGAGTCATTCATATCCACTAGCTGGACTTACTTTCTTGAAAGAAACCATTTCTACAGACTACAGGTCAGGCCAAGTTGTACACAGAGGTGAGGTGTCTCATCTCATAGATTTATTACAATTCCTGAATGAGTTAATTGGGTTTTCAAAAGGGGGAGATATTACAGTCTTTCACTGCTTATATTTTAAGGGTACAAAAAGTAAATAAAACAAACTGATGATGAGATCCATATTCTTTTGAAGAAAGTGGTGTTTTACAAGGCTACTTGCTTGCGATCGGAATCAGTGTAGACGTAAGACAATTTGTAGCCCAAACTGACTTCTGTAGGGACAGTTACCCCCCATTTACCTCCTCCATAACCTTGGCTCCATCATCCTCCTTCAGTTGATTCCTGTCACCGTCTAACCCAGTGGCTCAGCTTAAAACACTAAATTTTAAACTACAAATGCAGAAGATCCATGACAAGAGTTGGAAAGTAACAGGAAACTATATGAAACCTTGTATGTATCTAGCAATGACCTGTTGCTAGAAGGAACAAATCCTGTGGCTGGCAGAGTGATTTTACCTTTGGGCCCCTGGGCAAGGCCCTTAATCCCCACTGCTGCAGGGGCTGGCTGATCCTACTCTATAAACTACACTTGTACATCACTTTGGATTGTAAATTATTACTTGATACACCTTTACCAAAGTCAACCATAAAATACTGTGCTCAAAAGTTAACTGGCTCTAAAGACCGATTATCTTCCATTTCTCAGCAAAATAGGTTGGTAAGCAGGGCAGTACTGCTGCTAAACTAAATCCAAGATGCTCTTAGTTTTCTCTATGGTTGACTGAATAATTTGATTAGAGATGAACATGCTTAGGCTGTCAGTGTATCATTTCCAGACCAAAAGCATGCAGTGGCACCTACAGCCCCATGTAGACCCCCTGATGCTACAGGGGCATTCGACTGCCTTCCACACTGATCTTGGCAGCACCCTGAAGTTGGCACAGTTTTCTTCGTTCTGCAAAGCGATGCTTGTGCTTCTCCAATCTGTTTATCCCCTTTCTTAAGCCCATCTACTGGAACCAACCAGACCTCAGCTGCACCATCATAATGCAAAGAGGCAGCATAACGGCAGCAGTGACCATCACAGAAACATAATGCACCTCCTCAAAACTTAATATGCTCCAGAATTTTTTTGTTTAGGGGGAAAAACAGCATGAATACACCCAAATGTGCTACCATTTAGTGATCTGGGAACTTACCCGATTAGCTTCTACATCCGCGTTCCACTTTGGGCAAACTATGTAGTCTTTATTTGATGGCACTGGTACCCTAGCATGGGCACAGAACCCTGGATCACCAGGTCGGAGTGCCCTGGGGTTCGAAGAGACCAGCTGTTAGGTCTTCAGCTTAAGATGCGCATCAATCAAAGGAGACTGAATACTATACATCAGGGGTCACCAAGTCCGGTCCTGGAGGGCTACTATCCAGTAAGTTTTCTATCCTA